AAAAAAAAAAAAAAAAAAAAAGAGAGGCTGATGCCGTGATCTTTCTTTAGTCATAGCTGAAATCGGTAGTTTGGGAGCCTGATCAGTGAATGCCTGGAGGAGAGGGAGGCTGACATTTGGTGAGAGCCCACTGTGTACTACATAATTTTGATTAGTCCTTAAAAATCTTCAGAGTAGATTTTCATCATTGCCATTCAATGAGTGAAGAAACTGAAGCTTAATAACTTGTCAAAGTGTACACTGTGTTGTCTCTGAACACAATGTGGAGTTCTTGTTTGTGGGTATGTTTTTTGTTTTGCTTTGTTTTGTTTTGAGACAGAATCTCCCTCTGTCTCCCAAGCTGGAGTGTAGTGGCGTGATCTTGGCTCACTGCAACCTGTACCTCAACCTGTACGCTCAAGCGATTATCCTGTGTTAGCCTCCCCAGTAGCTGGGACTACAGGCATGCCCCACCATGCCTGGCAAATTTTTATGTTTTTATTAGAGATGGGGTTTTACCATGTTGGCCAGGCTGGTTTCAAACTCCTGACCTCAAATGACCCGCCCACCTCGGCCTCCCAAAGTGCTAGAATTACAGGCGTGAGCCACCTCGTCTGGCCATTTGTGGGTATGTCATTTTGTGGCTGGTCTTTGTCTTCCCAGGTAGATTGTAATTAAACCTAAGGACTTTACCTATTTGTTTCTCACTTCTCTCTTCCCAGTAGAAGCCTTCCAAGATGGTGTGTTCTCAGTAATCACCTATTTCCAACAGGAAAAAGATTGTCTTTGTCACGTTCTCTCTTATATGTGGGAGGGAAGTTGATCTGTTTGGCGGTGGCCTTCTTTGTCAGTTCTCACTGAAATTTGAGACAAAGGCGGGGAAAGCTGAGGGTTTCAATACTCATTTTTGTCCTGAGCTGTTGACAGCTCACTAGCTAGAAAGAAGTTAAGACTTCTGGAATCTTAGCATCACATGGAATGGTCATTTATTGCACAAAATACATAGAAACCTTGTATTTGTTCATTTAACAAATATGTGAGTATAAACCATTCATTCATTCACTTATTCATGCCAAGTACTATGCTGGACCTTGTGAAATCATTGGTAAGCTAAATGGATGATGTTCTTGTTCTCAGGGAACTTGCAGTCTTGTGGAAAGGCAGACACTAAACTCATCCTATAATGATAAGTTATGATAAGTGCTCTGAAGGAAAGGTATAGGATACTCTGAGAGGTTTTAGGAAACAAAATGTGAAAAAACATCAGAAAAGTGGAGGCACTGGTGTCCTGTAACAACAGCATCTCAAAGCATGTGTTTCTTTGACAAACAGCATGATCCTTTTTCCTAAAGCTCTCTTCTCTTGTCAGCAGGGCTATTCGGAGTCACCAGACCTGGAGTTTGAGTATGCTGACACAGACAAGTGGGCTGCAGAGCTCTCCGGTAAGGCAGGGACCTTTGTGTTATTTGGGGGTAGTTTTTTCCTTATTGGTCTTTAAGAAAATTAAGAATGAATATCATTTAGGGCTTCATTGCTTTCCCTAGTTAGTTCTATCAGATAGATATATGTGTGTGTGTGTATATGTGTATATGTGTATATATGTAAATATAGTGCATATATGTATACGTATATATGTGTGTATATGTGTGTATATATGTATGTGTGTATATGTATATGTGTATGTATATATGTATATATATGACATGTTAGTTATTTGATTCAAGCCTTGTGTATCTTATAACTTTGTGTTGTCCTTTACTTTTATGAAGCTGACTAGAGCCCAGTCCCATTGTGAGACAGTGATGTTCCTTGGCTATCCACTGTGACCCTGATAGTGGTCTCTCCTCCAGCAATGGGTCATGAGGGATGCCTGCATCTGTGCCCATCTGCTGCTGCCACTGCCACTCTCATGTAATGCGAGGTCGGTGTAAGCTGCTTCTCCAGCCTCTAATACATGTCCTGCTCAAGAGGTAGCAGCCACTTGAGAGGCGCATCCCAGGTGGCCGTCAGCCCTGGCATGGCATGGTGGGATGGATGCACATCGGACAGGAAGTGTCCAGATGGCATTCTGGCACTCTGGTTCTCTCTATTGTGCACATTAGAGAACTAAGATCCCCTTCATAATTAGAGAGCTTATTCCAGGAGTCATTATGACTCAGGGCCAGAGTTGAGAGCGGAAGCAAATGCCTTGCCTTCTCTGCACATGTGAGACTTGGTGTGCAATGCAGACATGGAACCAATGGTGATGAGACTTTGTTCCAACAGAGCTTTACAGCTACACGGAAGGGCCAGAATTCCTGATGAATCGAAAATGCTTTGAGGAGGACTTCCGGATCCATGGTGAGATGATTTCCCCCACTTCTTGCTTCCTTTGCCCTGCATGATGAGAGCTGCAGGTTTCTTTTAGGCATCTGAATGACCCGAGTCATCCTTGAACGGCCTGAGAAGCCTGCTGAACCCTGATGGTTCAAAGCCAGATACATGTAGAGTGGGCTTGTGGCACATCCGTGGGGGCTTTTCAGAATGTGCAGATTGGGGGAGAAAAAAAAATTCATGTGATTAAAATTGCACCCAAAATACCAGCGTTTCAGTTTGGAAATCAAATTCATAGGGCAGCAGTATGATCTTACCACTTACATAGAGGGTAACTTGTCTTTCTGGTCCTATGGCAGTCCTGAAATTGGTGAGTTAACATGGGTCTATGCCATTGTGAATATTTTTCTAGGCTCAGGTGTAACTGGTTTCTTGCCCTGCAGTGACAGACAAGAAGTGGACTGAGCTGGACACCAACCAGCACCGGACCCATGCCATGAGGCTCCTGGATGGCTTGGAAGTCACTGCCAGGGAGAAGAGACTTAAGGTGGCTCGAGCAATTCTCTATGTTGCTCAAGGTATTGAGTGGACCTCCCCAGGATTCCCTAGCACCTCTGCCCACTCAGATGCAGGGAGGGGCTCAGTGAACTGAACCCTGTGTTGCAGGCACGTTTGGGGAGTGCAGCTCGGAGGCAGAGGTGCAGTCCTGGATGCGCTACAACATCTTTCTCCTCCTGGAGGTGGGCACGTTCAATGCTCTGGTGGAGCTTCTGAACATGGAAATAGAGTGAGCATTTTTGAGAGGCTGAGTAGGGAAGGGGAGGCTGGGGTGGGAAGGGGGACACAGCTTGCAGAACTAACTGGCTTTGAGAGGGTTAAATGGGCCACATGGGGCAGAAAGTCTGGTCCCAGGCTGTGTTCTGACCACCTGGGTTGAATAATGGAGTTGGTCACTTACACCTTGAAGATTAATGGAGACTAATGACAGGTCCCTGCAGCTCCCTGATGCCAGAATTTTTACACCAGACAGTGTAGGCCCTACCCCGGCTTTGCGGGGCTGCTCCTCAGAAGGAGAGTCCTCACTTTGAGCTCTCTTTTGAACCTGTAGACTCTGCTGTGTTCGCCCTGCAGTTCCCCGCTTGGCAGGAGGCCAGGCACAAGACTGACACATGGGCTCAACCAGTGCCTGGCCTTGCCTGTGTTACCTTTGTCCAGTGGACAGGTCAGCTGCTGCTCATCTAAGGATAACGCCATCAATGATAATAGCTAAGACCACTCACTGAGTGCCTATGTGTCCCGGGCATTGTTCTCAGGATATTACAGGTGCTAATTCATGTTAAGGATATAGGTACTGCTATCATCCCCATTTTACAGATGAGGAAACTAAGGCACAATTAGAGCCAGGATTCAAACTGTGGCAGTCCAGTGCATGACTGGGTTTTTTTTGCTTGTTTGTCTTTTGTTTTTTGCTTTTTTTTTTGAGAGTCTTGTTCTGTTGCCCAGGCTGGAGTGCAATGGCGCGAACTTGGCTCACTGCAACCTCCACCTCCTGGCTTCAAGCAATTCAAGCAATTCTCCGGCCTCGGCCTCCTGAGTAGCTGGGATTACAGGTGCCCGCCACCATACCCGGCTAATTTTTGTATTTTTAGTAGAGATGGGGTTTCGCCATGTTGGCCAGGCTGGTCTCAAACTCTTGACCTCAGGTGATCCACCCGCCTCGGCTTCCCAAATGGTGTTGGGATTACAGGCGTGAGCCACCGTGCCCAGCCGTGGCCTGGGTTCTTAGCCATCGTATCCTGTGGCTTCTTGTGCAGTCCAAGCATGTATCACAGGATTTTGTGTCCCCATTGGTCAGTACTTGTCAGGGACATCACTTATCTTCCTTCTTGGAGGAAGATGCTGACTCTCAAAATCTCCTGCAGCAACAGTGCCGCCTGCAGCAGTGCTGTGAGGAAGCCCGCCATCTCCCTGGCTGACAGCACAGACCTCAGGTGAGGCGAGCAGGAAGCCTGGGCTTCCGAGCGTTAGTCAGAGATGAGATCAGAGCAGGGTGTGGGAGGCTGGCTGTGGGTGTCCTTGCTGTGTGTGCTTCTGTACACGTCATCTGCACGTTTGATGGGCTCACTGTGAATGCTTAGTAGGAACTGCTGAGGGCTCATCCTAGGTGGGGCTCTGGGTTGAGACTCCCAAAGGCAATCCAGGGTCAGGTGACTTAGAGCCACAGCTAAGTGTGGGCCTCCTACTCACACTGTTACTCAGGACCCAGCTGTGGGTGTTTTGTATTTGGGTGAAACACTTGATAATGTTCCCAGGGCTCCCACCGCCTCGTGTACACAGCTTGATCCTCATCTTCACTGGGTTAGACCCGACAGCTTCCTAATGTTTCATAGCTGCCCAGGAGCTCACAGCAACTGCTGAACACCAAGATCACCCTTCAGTTTTTGAAGGTTGAAATCTGGCTCTTTTTATGAATTTGGAAGTTTTTAGACTAGGTGGTTGTAGTGTTCCCTCCTAGGTGTTAGGATCCCTGGGTGTCACCTCTCAGCTCCTGCTTTCCACTTCCTTATCAAAAACCCTGTTTTTGTTCTCGCTGTGACCCCGTTCTGCTTTGACCCTATAGCTCACTACCATCTCTGGTGCTTTTCTTTTCAGGAAGCTTAGGGCGGTAAATGCTTTTGGCCATTCTTATTCATATTCATTTATTCAGCTACCATTTATTAATATTAAGCCCCTGCTTTGTGTAAGCACTTTGTTAGACACTAGGGTGCTCCTTTGACCCCCCCCCCACTGTCCTACTTCATTGTGAGCTGGCTCTTGTCCTCAGGGTCCTGCTCAACATCATGTACCTGATAGTGGAGACCGTTCACCAGGAGTGTGAGGGTGACAAGGCTGAGTGGAGGACCATGCGGCAGACCTTCAGAGCCGAACTGGGTAGGACCCTGGAGATCCTCTCTAGAGGCCCTGCCTGGAAGCTGAGGCGGAAGGCTTTGGGAGGGTCCTGATACCTTTGTGTCACCTCCAGGCTCGCCGCTGTACAACAGTGAGCCGTTTGCCATCATGCTGTTTGGGATGGTGACCAAATTTTGCAGTGGTCACGCCCCTCACTTCCCCATGAAGAAAGTTCTCTTGCTGCTCTGGAAGACAGTATTGGTGAGCACCTCCTTGGAGGAGAACTCAGGTGCTAGGGGATGGGCAGTAAGGAGACTGTTCCTTGAATATCCTTTTGAATATTGAATTATGTGACTATAAAACTGCTTTGGTAAAAAAAAAATTATTTAAAAAGCGCTAAAAGGAGATGACAAAGTAAGTGCCACTATTGTCCCATTGCAGCCAATGAGGACATAGGCCTTGAGTCAGACTGTTGGCTCCCTGACTCCTGGAAGATGTTTTCTGTCATAGAACAGCTCTCCCCCAGACAAGCTGCTTCTCAGCAAGCAGCTCTGGACCTGGAGTTTGTAAAGGGATTTAAGGCAAAGTTAAAGCTGGTGTAATTGGGGCCCTGGTAGGATGTCACTTGAAGGGGCAAGCGTGAGCCCTGAGCCAGCCTCCATTTTCTTCAGGGTATGGTGTCAACCTGACTCTGTGTCTAGGTAGGGAGGGACTGGGTGCCAGCGTGGGCCGTCCAGCACACTGGGCTTTGGAGCATTGTTAGCAGCCAGGCCATGCCAGGAGGCCTTCCCAGGAGGAGTGGCATGGGGGAGGCAGTGGAGGTGAGTTGGGCCTCTGTTACACTGGGGCTCATCCTTCCTTTCAGAATGGGTCAGCTCTGGAGCCAGGGCTCAGTAAGTGTAGGATTTCTTGAGTCATTGACGCATTTTTATCTTGGCCACACATCCTGTTCTTCACAAAGCCTTGCTAAGGCCAGAGAGGAAAGCTGAACTGCTCAGAAACAGCAAAACTAAGCAATCTAAAATTGCTGCATGGTGCTGGGGTTTCTGTTTCTTGGGAGATGTTTAGATGAAGCTTTTTTTTTCTTTTAAATTTGAGCAACCAACTGTATTTCCAGTTTGACTTGGAAAGACTCGCATGTACAACTCGTGAAACATGAGTCTCACCAACTTTTCTAGGAACTTGCAGGGTTAGGCTCTTTGCTTTTTAAATGAAGAGTATGTCATAGGTGCAGAGTTAGTGTATCTGCACTAGGGTCAGTCAGCCTGCATCTCTACTCTTTCCTTGTTCCTTTTTCTCCTTTCCCTTGCGGATGTCGCGGAGTTCTCCTCGGGAGTGGCTTCAGTCCGTTGTTCAGGGGTTGCCTGGGTCTCTATAAAGACGTGGGTCATGATGTGATGGGTGCTTCTGAGCCCAACACAATGGTCAGGGACCAGCCCTGTGGACACGTTGACTCTGGCTCTGCTTCCCTGTCTGTGATGCAGTGCACGCTGGGCGGCTTTGAGGAGCTGCAGAGCATGAAGGCTGAGAAGCGCAGCATCCTGGGCCTCCCCCCACTTCCTGAGGACAGTATCAAAGTGATTCGCAACATGAGGGCAGCCTCTCCACCAGCATCTGCTTCAGACTTGATTGAGCAGCAGCAGAAACGGGGCCGCCGAGAGCACAAGGTGAGGGTGACAGAGGTTCCTGTGACTCCTGAGGGCCCTCAAGGTGTATGCTTGCAGCAGCACAGTCCTTGGAGGAGCAGGGCTGCTGGAAATGATCTCTGATCAACCAGTCAGAATCATGCCTCCACGGCAAGGACACTTTGTCCCCAGCTCTGGTCCAGTTTATGGTGGGTGCTCAGCACGTGGTGCTTTTGAGGGACTGGAGCAAGAAGTACTTGATGGTTTGGCCCCCGTCTTGACACCCCCTCTGGTTTTTCCACTGTTCCTGCCTCTACCTGACACCCCTGTGCGCTGTGTCTCCTCCAGCCGCACTTCCCTAGTCTGCATCCTCAATTGGCTCTTGTCTCATCTCGCTTCCCTGGTTTCAGGCTCTGATAAAGCAGGACAACCTAGATGCCTTCAACGAGCGGGATCCCTACAAGGCTGATGACTCTCGAGAAGAGGAAGAGGAGAATGATGATGACAACAGTCTGGAGGGGGAGACGTTCCCCCTGGAACGAGATGAAGTGATGCCTCCCCCACTACAGCACCCACAGACTGACAGGCTGACCTGCCCCAAAGGGCTCCCCTGGGCTCCCAAGGTCAGGTGAGTCTCAGACCTCCAGAGCACTCATAGCTCCTGAGGCCAGAGCCCTCACACCCTCAGGCCTGCCGCCTGGCCTGCGTCACCGTGTGTGGTCCTCTGCAGGGCAGGCTGACAGTGGCTCTGGGATGAGGCTCTCTTAAAGCGCCTGGTGCTGTCCTGAGGGTCTCAGGGAGGCTAGCCTTGCTGGTCTCACACAACATGGCCCCCATGTGGCTACTGAGTCAGTAATTGGAGTTAGCTCTTGGTTAGACGTGCTAGTGAAGGGGGATAGGAAACAAATAAAAACAAAAGCATTTAAGCAAACATGTCCCCACCCCTCCCGGGGTTGTATATGATTTTTAAGGGAAAAATGATAGATTAAGGAAGAGTTTCTTTAGAGCCATAATGAAAATGTTTGAGATATATGTGGGTACATCGATGGATGGGAAGGTACCTGGAGATATATAAATGGTGTCTGTTTGATAGGCAGCAACTTAAGAAATAGATGAACATGTGAGAGGATATAGAAGTCACTTTCTTGATCCAGGTAAAGCCTCAGTTTTCAGTGATCTGTGAAGGGAATGCAAAACAGATCATCAGAAAATGCAAGGTATGCTGATTGTTCGGGATAGGAAAATGTGACCTACATGAAAAATCAGTAGCCTGTAGCTTTAATTGTTTAACAAAGTTTTAGTATTTAAGAAAGTCTGTTGACAAACTTGTTCATACTATGTGAATAAAGTATGTTTTTAAGTTTAATGTATCTCTTTAATTTTATGAATAAACTAGTTAACATGTAATATATTTCCAGGTTATTGATCCAGCAAAATTATAAGAAACATTAAAATACTCTGAAAATTTCTATTTTTTCCCTTTTTTGAAAGAGAAAAACAGTTGTGGGAGACTTTTTCTTCTCCTGGCTTCACAGTTTCTGGATGCTCTATGTTTTTGTTCACTGTAACACTTTGAAATAGCATTTGCTAAAAACCTTTTTCTCTCTCTTTTTTTGGGGGATGTGGCAGAGAGAAAGATATTGAGATGTTCCTCGAGTCCAGCCGCAGCAAATTTATAGGTTACACACTAGGCAGGTGAGTAGAAGCCAAGTTCATTTTGCTGTTAGCTCTCCCAGCCTTTGGTGTTTGGGATCCCAGGTGAATTAATGTCGAGGCTCAACACAGGGCCTTCTTTATTCTCCAGTGACACGAACACGGTGGTGGGGCTGCCCAGGCCGATCCACGAAAGCATCAAGACTCTGAAACAGGTGAGTGGCTTTGGGTGAGCATTTGGCTTGTTTGGTCCGAAGTGAGTAAAGTGAAACCAGCCTGTAGGGAGAAGCCTTTTAAGACTGTTGTCTGCCTGCAAGAACCTGGGGTAGAGGCCAGGGTGGACTTTGGAATAACCTTGCAAACAGTCTTTCATAAGTTTTGCTTGTTTTATTATAAGTTTTACTTGTTTTAGCTGAGCTTTTGTTTGGGACTGACTGGAAAGTCTTTAAAGATTGTATTACCTGACCACTGGGCACCAAGGCATATGCCTGTAGTCCCAGCTACTGAAGAGGCTGATGCAGGAGGACTGTTTGAGCACAGGAGATCAAGGCTACAGTGAGCTATGATCATGCTCCTGCACTCTAGCCTGGGCCACAGAGTGAGACCTGGATTCTTTTAAAAAAAAAAAAAAAAAAAAAAAGAATTATATTACTTGACAGTTGTTGGAATTCTACAGAGCTCAATAAATAACCCTCCTTTTCCTTGCCCACGTTCTCAGGCAGTTGAAATAGAGGAGTAGGCAGATGGAGATTGTAATGCCAACTTTATAGCTCATAGAGCCGTGGAGAATGAGGCTTAAGAACGCAGCAGTAGTGTCCTAATACATTGTTCCAGAATTAGGCAGAGATACCTACCAGTCTCAGGCAGTGCGGGCAGGAGAAGAGAGCACAGACTCTCAGCAGGCAGACAGGTTCTAAAGGGAAAAGAGAAGGGTGGAGCCAAGGCTGCCCTGTGTCCCCTCCCATACTCTCTGATCAGAGAAGGGAGCAGTGAGTGTCTGGATGGGGCAGAGAGAGATGAGGGGTGTTTGGCAAACCTCTGTCCCTCCACATAGGAGAGAACATTAAGAGTGGGGAAGAAGGTCGAGCGTGGTGGCTCAAGC